TAGTCAACGTGTTTCTTACTGACTGTTCAGCAAAGTGTTTATCCACCACTCAGGAGCTCTGGGTGAAAACACCAGAACACTGGGCATCTAATGAGCACCCATTCTGTGCTTTTAACACATTTCATCTAGTCAAAACAATTTGAAGAATGTTTTTGTCTCCATTGAGGGAATGAGATTCAGAGAGGCCAGCATAGCCAGGGCTGTGCTAAGGGACAGCATTCCAGTGCAGGTCTATGTGGCCTCAAGCCTGTGCTGGCTCTGTTTGACGGGGTCTTTTCTATTCTGGTTAGTTGCGTCATTCATGAAGGGAAGGGTGAGGAACTTTTGGGTCTCCAGATAGTGGTGCCCATGAAAGTCACATGTGGCTGAGGTAGGAGGCAGTTTCAGTTTCAGAAAAAAAAAAAAACAAAAAAACAAAACTAACTTCACATTCTTATAGGAGAGCTGGTTTTTGAAGGATTTTCTTAATTTGAGGTGGCAACTACTGTTACTTTCCTCAGGGCATAGGAAATATTATTTAGCCACTGGACGGCTTCTTCACAAATAATGTCATGATTTGTTAAGTGTACATTAATTCTATTGGTATTAAAAGGATACTTAATTATTCTACTGCTAAAAGAGATATGAATAGTCCAAAAGCAGTAGCCCTGCTTTGTTTGGGAGGAACTTATTTTGTCATTTTTGGCTGAAGTGGTGAGGGGGTAGAACAAGGGTGGTGTGTGTATCTAAAAATGGCTATTTGTGGTGTTTGGAGTCTTCACCTTGAACTTCAGTCTGCTTCCTAATTCTTGCTAAAAAGAGTATGACTTCTTACTGATTTGGAACCACCGAAAGTTTTGCTTGTCTACCAAATTGATGCTTTCTCTGAGGGAAGGTACATGAGGATAGGTAGGAAGTACGAAGTTGGCAAGAGGAAGAGGAAGATAACTGAGTTACTAAGCTGGAAGCTGCCCTGGCATACAGCTTCCTGCTCAGTAACTGGTGTGAGATTATAGGGGAAATACATTCACTGAGGAAGTGAGAAAGCAGATAGGATATCCTGGAGAGCTGACGGCTGCGAAAGACAGCTTCTCAACCAGGGAAAGAGGTTCATACCTGAACTCACAAGTCGGGGAAGGCTGGGGCTGGCTCCTGAAACTGGGCTGACATGTAACTTCTTACATAAAAGCACTACAGAGTAACTATTTTAAGGTGTGAAACCAAGTGTGTAATAATAGACTTGGCAATTAATCACCTAGTGTTTGTCTCTTAAAAAGTGATGTATTATAGCTCCACCAGGTGGCTGCCAACAACGTGAATAAGACAGGCTAAATCCACCAAGAGGAGGGCAAAGTTACTGTTGAATTTATCTGTGCATATCAGACGTGACTACAGCAAAATTCAGTTCAGTGAAGGGCAAAAGGGAGACCATTGCAGGTTTTTAAAACAAAACTACCCCCTGACAAAATGGGTATGACTTACCTTTGACATACGAATACACAAATGCCATCAACAGTTTGTTTTCTGAAGGGTTAGTGTCCTGCAGTTTCATATATAAGGGTACCCTTGTTCTGGTGTTCCTAGAAGGGTAGAAGGTACTTTAGATCCAAGGGTAAGTTTTCATGTGTGACTGTTAGACTCTGGAGATCTGTAGCTCTTTCTAAGGGTTGGAACATCGTGGTAAGGCAGGAAAGAATACTGGTGGCCTGTCATCCATATTAGGCTCTGCTCCTTTTAGGCCAGTGGCTTCTTTTTTTCTGGCCCTCAGTTTTCTTATCTGTGAAATGAGTGAATTCTGCATTAGCAATATTCTGTTTTAATTTGGGAAAGGATAAGCTTGTTAACATTTGAAGCCAAATAGAAGAGATGAGGGAGGAAGGCTATATTTAGTGTAGACATTTACATTTTTACAGTTAAACTCCACATGAAGATATTGATGATAAGAACTGGAACGAGACAATCTTTACTCTTTTCTCCTCAGTTCTGATATGGCACAGATGTGATAATCAAGTCCATATGCAGCTTCGCTAAAAGTAATCTGATTAGACATAAAATGTTAAAAACAAAAAACCTGTTAAGTAAATTGAGTTATCAACTTCTTTTAGGGAGCACAGAGAACGAAACAAAACAAAACCCAGCCAGCTATTAAAGCGTCAAAATGTGAAATTCATTTTCCCAACTTACCAACTCTATTCCCATCTGGGTTGGAAAAAGGAGAAAAAATAGCTTTTGTTTTCTCTGTTTCTTTTTACTTTTATTCACTTATTTTAAAAAGCTCTATTGAGATACAATTCACATATCATACAATTTACCTATTTAAAGTATACTCTCTAGTAGTTCTTAATATGATCAAAGAGCTGCACAATCTTCACTGCAGTCATTTTTAGAACGTATTTGTCACCCCCAAAAAGCAACTCTTCCCCCACACCTTCCAGCCCCCAGTCCTTTATCTACTTTCTGTCTCTCTCTGTTTGCCTATTCTTTACACTTTTTTTTTTTTTACATTCCTCCTATCTAACTGTAATTATATATCCTTTGATACATCTCTTCCTTCCTCCTTACCACCTTAAACTTCTGGAAACTATCATTCTGCCCTTAACTCCCAGGAGGTCAACTTTTTAGACTTTGCTCATGAATGAGATCATGTGACACTTGTCTCAGTACCTGGCTTACTTTACTTAGCATGGTGTTCTCTAGGTTCATTCACGTTGTTGCAAATGACAGGATTCCATTCCTTTTTATGGCTAAATAGTAATCCATTGTATATCTATTTTATAATGCATGTATGTGTGTATTAAGTAATAGCTTCTTTCTTTGTGTTAAGTAAATACCTTAATCATGCAAAAATAAGACAGTATAAAAATGAAAATTTAAGAGTTCTGAGTGACAAACATTGGTTGTTCTTTTGCATTCTAAACATTAACACAATGAGCCATCCTTAGTAGATCCAAATATTCACAATAGGTAGTATATGCTATTTCAGTTGATTTTACTTTCACATTAGTTGGAGTCACTGATTTGTACAAAGCATAACTCAAATTTGACTCTAGTTCTTGATTCTACCCATTGTGGCAGTGGTAGATGTTGTTCGTTGTCTTTGTACTTTGCCCCTTAGTAGCAAGTGCATTCATTATTTTGTGTGTGTCCCCTTAAGAAATGATAGCCAGTTCACTATTTTAAAAAATTACCCATGAATGAAGACATTTTACATGTTTGCTCCTCCCATTCTTTAAAACAATCAGTACATACATTTCATTTTTCCTTTTTTTGCTATCCTTCTTGGTTAAGTTTCTCCCTTCTCTGTGCTGTTATTAATATACTATGGGATGTGTGTATTGGCTGTGTGATGTTACTCTCTAGAAACATAGCTACATATCAGTGTGCCTCCTGCTTAAAGCTTGGAATGTTAGCTTTGAATATACTTGTAGACTTTGATGTAGGATTTTTCTTCATGAGACATTTACATGAAAATAAAATCTTTGATTTTCTAACTCATCTGCTCCTCCTGCTGAATTCCCACCTAAACTTGTCATAATGGTCCAGGAAGACATTGCCGCTGGTTGCCATGGAATCAGTTAACATTACATATTATAACTTAAGGTAGAAATTAAGCAGAAAGAACTGCTTATTTCTTAAACAGATAGGATAGAGATCAGAGTTTCAAATATAAGCACAGACCTATTCATTTAAGAGTGGCAGTTTTGGTTTTGGTGAAAATTTTGAAAAAAATTAGTTTTACAATGTGCCTTAACTTACATCGAAGGTAAAAAAAATCAAATTTATTTTAAATTGTTTTTAAAAGGCGGGGGGTGAGGTCTGGGTTGTAACTCAGTGGTAGGGTATTTGCCTAGCACATGCAAGACCCTGTTTTTAATCTCCAGCACCACAAAAAGGGGGACTTTTCATTTTTCAGAAGACCAGTTCCTGCTAATAACTGTGTAGTAAAACTATTAGCAAAAGAATACACATGTGCATACATGTACACACATTCACACTTTGTATATTTATTGTTATTCCTAGCAGTCCTTGGGCTAAATAATTTCCCCGTATCCTTATGTCAAGCAAAAGTGATGGCACCTGTATTATAATATCTCTGGAATTTAAATTTTAACTTCCAGTTTTGGTGTCCTGCTAATTAGGAGTTTGTGGTATATTTTACATGTTCATCTTAGAATGCAGTGAAAAGGAGTTTTTGACCATCTTCCCTATGTTCTTCATATAATCCACTTCTCTTAAGTAGATTTCCTACTCTACCCATGCTGCATATGGATTCCTGAAAGATTTAGTTATAATCTAAAACATTTAATTTACCTGACTCTTATGCATTTAAAATTTGCCAGCGGTGTCTTCATCAAATAAGAATTTGGGCTGGCTATCAAAGAAAGACTTTGAACAAGCCTGAATATAAATGGAATTGGAGTAATTTATCATTGTCAATTCTTTTGTTTCATTAATTGAATTAATGTCTAAGCATTTAGCCCAAGGAATATATACAGATCTTTTGTTTTATTAATGCTTTTGCCTTAATCCTTTCTTCCTTTCAGCATGTAGTAAATGCAAAATAGTTACAGATTCTTGAAGATTCTAAAAACTTCTACCTCCCATGAAGTACTTAAGCAATAAAATAAACGCAGCTGTCATTCTTTTTCTTCTACTTGCTCTTTTCTGGGTATTTACTTAGATACTATTTTTGTATTTTTTTTCTCTACTATTAGTCACAGTGTTCTTAGAGAAAAAAAGCCAAGGGCTGGGTATATGGTTCAGTGTTGGAGCACTTACCTAGCATGTGCAAGGCCCTGGGTTTGATCCTCAGCTCTGCAAAAAACTTATATATCTATGTTATCATTACTTTTATTATTAAATGATCAGATAAGAAAACACCCTCAATAAATGGGGCGGGGGTTGGAATCCTTGCATAAGGGGAAGCAGCCAAAGTACCAGGTCAGTTCGGTATCTTAAGAAAACTGACCAATGTATATTGGTTTTACATTTTCTGAGGTAATATTGTATCATTTGTTTAGATATCCTTGGAATAGATGACCTTCTTGTGGAAGCAACTTCCAGTGATGCTGTGAGATTTTATCCCTGGACCATTGATAATAAATACTATTCAGCGGATATCAACCTGTGTGTGGTGCCAAACAAGTTTCTGATCACTGCCGAGATTGCAGAGTCTGTTCAGGCCTTTGTAGTTTACTTTGACAGCACACAAGTAAGACTTTGTTTTCCATGGAACCTTGAGTAGGAAATTTTTATAAACTGTCTTTTTTTCTCTCTACATTTTCTGTGAGTTTTCTTAATATGTCTTTTTCTGTTTTTATTTCTTCCTGTGCTTGTTTTTGCTCCCTCTAGAAATCAGGCCTTGACAGTGTCTCCTCGTGGCTTCCGCTGGCAGAAGTGTGGTTACCTGAGGTGATGATCTTGGTCTGTGACAGAGTATGTGAAGACGGTAAGGCCCTCAGATGGGGTGGTAGGTGGTAGATATGCTTGTACACAAGCATATGTACCCCCTTCCCCCCAAATCTCAATCAGTGGCTGGGCAGGTTGGCGTGTGCCTGTCATCCCCACTACACGAGGAAGCACAAATAGGAGGATAGTGGTCCAGGCCAACCTGGGCATAAAATGAGACCCTATATCAAAAATAACCAATGCAAATAACCAAAGGCAGAGCTGCTCAAGTGGTAGGAGCACCTGCCTAGCAAGTGCGAGACCCTGAGTTCAACCCCTAGTACTGGGGAACAAAAGAATGGATTACTTTAGGGCTGAATAATTTTTCTTTAGTACAGTGACATTAAGGAAAAACATTGAAATTCGTGAAGAGTGTTGCAGGGTATATGTGTTTGATATTATTTTTGCATATTTTAGGTGTAAATCGACAAAAAGCTCAAGAATGGTGCATCAAACATGGCTTTGAATTGGTTGAACTTAGTCCAGAGGAGTTGCCTGAGGAGGATGGTAAGTGCTTATGTGTCTACAGGAAACATGGTATTTGGATTGAGATACAAGAGATTATTTTAATCCAGAGAAGAAGAATCACCGAGAAATTCAAGAAACACTTTTTCTCCAGCTGTTGAGAAGATTTGAAAATATCCATTGATGTGGTCTTACTAGTAAATGTAATAATCCACTAACTTGGCTTTTTAACCCATTTTAGAATTTTTGAAGATTTCTTTTTTAAATCGATGATGGTAAAGGATTTCTGTCTACAATTGTTATAATTTCCCTAATCCCTATTCCTTTCCCTGCTGCCAAACAAGTGGGGTTAGACCTATATTCATTGACAGAGTATATATTCCTTCTTTTGAATGCAGAGTAAGCCAAGCCTGAATTACCAGGAACCTCAGTGAGAGCTGTCAGTCAGTCAGACTATTTGTATGTCTTTGGCACCCATAAAACTAAAAATAAACTCAGAACTCCTCTTCTGCTCCCCAGGGTAGTTGTATAGTACCTGCCTTCTGCTACTGTCAGGCCTTCTGTTTCTTACCCTTTTATCCTGCTCCCTCATTTCTTTGTTCATCTTTTCTTCCAAGTATACCTATTGTGGGATCAACTGGATAAGACAGATTTTGGTCCACCCAAACCTTATAATTTGGTGCCAAAGGTAAAACATGTATACAAATGGTGGAATTACCAAGTGGAATATCATGTGTGTTAAGAAAATACACTGGTATCATGATATTTCAGAGATAGGAGAGATTATTTCTTTAGCGGTTCAGAGGATGGTTGGCACCATGAGCTTCGTGTGCCAGATCTTCCCTGGGGGACAAGTGGAAAAGTTACTGGATTTGTAGAGGGCTGCTGGGAGGTGGCACTGAGAAGACGCCAGTTCTTCCCAATGACGTTCCAGGCAAGGGCAGCCAATGTGAAAAAAAAGCACACAGACAGGACATAAGCAATCATTACATGAAACCCATGTATATTTTAAAAGATATTTTGAAATATCTTTCTATATTCTGGCTGAATTAGACTTTTTCCAAAATTCTATTACCTGGGGAATAAAATCCTGCCAGAGAAAAAAGAATGAAATGAAGTAAAAGGCAGATTCTTATTCCTGTGCATTTTGAAAAATATTGAAAATTGGCAAGTGCAGTTTCTCCTTCTGTGTTCTTCAGTCTCCTAAAACTTGTTCCCAACTTTGTGTATGTAAACCTGTGTGTAATTGCTTGTTTTCTGGCATTAGAATTTTCTCTTCTTTCTGTCATCCTTGGAACTCAATATTTGACTATTCCCATTTTGGAATCTCTGCTCCTTTCCATTTGGAATCTCTACACACTGTTCTCCTTGCTCTTTGAACAATATTTTGTATTAATTACTATTTTTTTTTCCTGAGACAGAGTTTCACTATGTAACCCAGACTGGCCTGGAACTTTGTGTAGTCCAGACTGGCTGAATTTGCAGTTTTCTGTCTCAGCCTCCTGAGTGCTGTTTTACAAGTGTGTGCCACCACACAGAGTACTCTTAAAGTAGATTAAGTATATCTACTCTTAAAGTAGATTAAGATATGTCATCTTTAGGTAAGGTAAGAAAAACCTTCCAAGAATTTTGAAATGCAAACTGTTCCCAAACCGTTTTCCTTCATATTTTATTTGTATGTATTATTCAAATATCCATGAAACTTTTGGCTTGTTTGAATTAAATTTCATACTATTGTTTCTATCTCTTCATTTCAGACTGCATCTTCGGTTCCTAAATATAACATCAGAAGTATTAATTATTCTTTCAAGAATTCATTTACTTTATAGTTAAGATGAGGATGCCTCTTATGTCTTCATCCAAACACTGATGATGATAAACTCATCTGTGTACTGTATATTATAATCCTCACCATATTGCTGTTAGGTTGATATTCTTCCATCAAATAGTGACTGACTGCCTGCTGTCTCTCAGCCACCTTGTCAGGCAGTGGGCATAATGAACTCAGTGAGACATGGTTACTGCACGCCGGGGTATTCTAGACTGGAGGGAGTGGGGGAGGTTATACCAGTGAGTTAGCAGCTCCAGTGCATCCTTCTAGGAGAGGTGTGCACAGACTAGTGCCATCCCCACTTTTCTTTGAAAATAGTGGAAGTGATTTGTCCTTGATCAAATAAGTGATAGGACCTGGATTCAGATTCACATCTTCTGACTTATTCTGTGTTCTTCCTGTTAAACATCCCAGGACCAAACCAGACCACTAGAGGTGGGTACTCTGTAGAGTCTGTTCTACAGACTCTTCCTTTCAGCTACATGAAAACTATTTCTGCCATTTTTTTTCCCAAATGTAATCTTATAATACTAGTATCTGAATGATCCGTGTTTCCTGTGTACACAACAATATGGAGCTTGTAGCTAAGAAATCACTGTATTACTGGTATGCTAACTGGGATTAAGGCCATGTTATTATGAGTAGGATCAAAGTCCAGAAACAGGATAGCGCTAATACTAAACTAAACTAAGTTTTTTTGTTTTAAACAACCCTTTGCCTGGCTCTTAGATTTGAGGTTTTGGTAAATTCACTTTTCACTCTTAAACTTTTTCTATGATCAAGAAGTTCTTCTCTAGATATGTTAATATAGTTAATTATGACTTCCAACTGAAGATTAAGCATTTAAAGTATACTAAAAGCTGTGTCCTGCCTTCAGGGAACTCATTTTCAAAAATAACCAGCAGTAGTGTTTTTAGTTGTATGCCAGGATTGTGAAATTAATGAAAACTTACATTTTCAGGAGTATTACTTATATTACTATCTTATTTGGTGTATTAATTTAATTATTGTTTATAGATTATTCTTATCCAGACCACTAATCTCTGATTTTGCTTTACTTTTTTTCCTTATTACACAAGTTACAGTGTGAAGTAATAACTAAATAAGATAATTAAGCTACAGGTATTTGAAAAATATGGCTTTGGGGATATACATATATATATATACACACATACATATGAATATATATGTGGATATGTATAAGTGTGTGTATAAATATATTTATTTCTTTCCTTAATTAGATGACTTCCCTGAATCTACAGGAGTAAAACGAATTGTACAAGCTTTGAATGCCAATGTCTGGTCCAATGTGGTGATGAAGAATGGTAAGTAACTTGAGTTTAAAGCAGTTTTCCCCTTATTTGTTATTTGTTTGAAATTATTTGTATATATGTGGAACCATTAGGATTACATGAAATCTTTAGATTTATTCCAGTTCTCAAGTCTTCAGTTGAAGGAAGAGCCCAAAGTAGCATTTCTAGGGATTTTTAATATGTTTAATAGTTAATTCAGGGAGAATTTGGAGGTTACCCATAATTTGGAGGTTGTCCTAGGCTTTAAGAACTACCTAAAATTATAAGAAATGGACCATACCCTTAAGGAGCTCCTGGTCCAACTATAGAATTCAACTATGTACTTTTCAAAAGCAAGTAAGACACTGAAGGCAGTCTGTGATGAGTATAGAATGACAGGTATAGGCAGTAGCAGTATGTGCACAGAATCAGAGATGTGCGATTGCATTAGTCTGGGGATAGAGAGTGCAAGGAGAAAGCGGGTCCTGACTGTAGTCTCCATGGAATGGTCAAGACTGGGGTTGGAGAAAGAGAATGCCAAGTGGAGGAGAAAGCATGGCATCAAGAGTGATGGAGTATGCTCTAACATTCTAGGTGAGTCTCACTTAGCAGTTGAAGCTACCTTAAAGAGAGGCCTGACTGCTAGGCAGTAGGACTGGGCTTTTTCTTGTAGGAAATGGTGAGTTGCTGGGCAAGGGAGCAATGCACATTTGGCATCTTTGAAAGGTTAATGTGGTGTGTAGGAGGTTTGGCCACTGAAGGAGATGGAAGTAGACTCTGAAGTTAGGGAGACCAAAGCTGTTGCAGCAGCTCAAGAGTGAGATTTTGGGCCTGGGCTGATGTGGTGGTGTGGTCTTTAGGCCAAAGGCTAGATCTGAAATGTAGTCTGAGGGAGTAGGCTAGTTGACCCACACTAGCTCTTATCGTCTATGTAACTTCACTTTTACCAGGGCTGCAGTAACAAGTACACAAACTGCATAGTGTAGAACAACAGGAATTTATTTCCTTATAGTTTTAGAGGTCCTAAGTCCAAAATTTGCTGACACCTTTGTCAGCAGGGCCATGCTCCCTGTGAAGGTGCTGGAAAAGGATTAGCTTCTTTTGGTTCCTTGGCATGTTGTCAGCTTAACTCCATTTTTCTCATGTAGTGTGCTGTGAGAATTACGGCCTCAGGATCGTCAAAACCAAAAAAACAAACAAAGGTCAAGTACTTAATCTAAAAAGTGTAGTTAATTAAAAACCTAGAGATGAGTACCTTCCTGCCCTTCACCAAAATAAAGTAGAGCTGTGTTATCTAGATGGGAATTCATGGTTTAAATGAGTTTTTCTGAGCTGGTTTATCTTATTGCAAGTCTGAACAACTTACCTGGTTATAGGATATCTTCGTATCTTTTTGTCTTTAGACTCTTCCTTAAAAATTAAGACTACACAAGCAACCAACAAAAAATAAATTAGACTTCATCAAAATTAAAAGTGTTTGTACTACACAGGACAAAGCTGGGTTCTTTTTACAGAAAAGCAGTTTATTTAGCTCATGTCTTTGGAGGCTAAAAGAGATTAGGTAGCCCTATCTATTCCACCTCTGGTGAAGACCTTGTGGCTACATCTCAGCTCAGCAGATGACATCATGGCAGGGGTACATGCGAGAGACAGAGAGAGAGAGAGAGAGAGAGAGAGAGAGGGAGGCAGGGGGAGGGCTAGGGGGAGGGGAGCCCGAGCAGGAAAGTCAGGTGGTAAGACAGGAAGCAAGAGAAAGAGTTAAGAAAGTCAAACTTGTTTTTGAACAACTCATTCTTTTTTTTTTTATTGTTTTATTATTCATATGTGCATACAATGCTTGGGTCATTTCTCCCCCCTGCCTCCACCCCCTCCCTTACCACCCACTCTGCCCCCTCCCTCTCCCCCCACCCCCTCAATACCCCGGCAGAAACTATTTTGCCCTTATCTCTAATTTTGTTGAAGAGAGAGTATAAGCAATAATAGGAAGGAACAAGGGTTTTTGCTGGTTGAGATAAGGATAGCTATACAGGGCATTGACTCACATTAATTTCCTGTGCGTGTGTGTTACCTTCTAGGTTAATTCTTTTTGATCTAACCTTTTCTCTAGTTCCTGGTCCCCTTTTCCTATTGGCCTCAGTTGCTTTTAAGGTATCTGCTTTAGTTTCTCTGTGTTAAGGGCAACAAATGCTGGCTAATTTTTTAAGTGTCTTACCTATCCTCACCCCTCCCTTGTGTGCTCTCGCTTTTATCATGTGCTCATAGTCCAATCCCCTTGTTGTGTTTGCCCTTGATCTAATGTCCACATATGAGGGAGAACATACGATGTTTGGTCTTTTGGGCCAGGCTAACCTCACTCAGAATGATGTTCTCCAATTCCATCCATTTACCAGCAAATGATAACTTTTCGTTCTTCTTCATGGCTGCATAAAATTCCATTGTGTATAGATACCACATTTTCTTAATCCATTCGTCAGTGCTGGGGCATCTTGGCTGTTTCCATAACTTGGCTATTGTGAATAGTGCCGCAATAAACATGGGTGTGCAGGTGCCTCTGGAGTAACCTGTGTCACAGTCTTTTGGGTATATCCCCAAAAGTGGTATTGCTGGATCAAATGGTAGATCAATGTTTAGCTTTTTAAGTAGCCTCCGAATATTTTTCCAGAGTGGTTGTATTAGTTTACATTCCCACCAACAGTGTAAGACAGTTCCTTTGCCCCCGCATCCTCGCCAACACCTGTTGTTCATGGTCTTGCTAATGATGGCTATTTTAACAGGGGTGAGGTGGAATCTTAGTGTGGTTTTAATTTGCATTTCCTTTATTGCTAGAGATGGTGAGCATTTTTTCATGTGTTTTTTGGCCATTTGAATTTCTTCTTTCGAGAAAGTTGTGTTTAGTTCACTTGCCCATTTCTTTATTGGTTCATTAGTTTTGGGAGAATTTAGTTTTTTAAGTTCCCTATATATTCTGGTTATCAGTTCTTTGTCTGATGTGTAGCTGGCAAATATTTTCTCCCACTCTGTGGGTGTTCTCTTCAGTTTAGAGACCATTTCTTTTGATGAACAGAAGCTTTTTAGTTTTATGAGGTCCCATTTATCTATGCTATCTCTTAGTTGCTGTGCTGCTGGGGTTTCGTTGAGAAAGTTCTTACCTATACCTACTAACTCCAGAGTATTTCCTGTTCTTTCCTGTATCAACTTTAGAGTTTGTGGTCTGATATTAAGATCCTTGATCCATTTTGAGTTAATCTTGGTATAGGGTGATATACATGGATCTAGTTTCAGTTTTTTGCAGACTGCTAACCAGTTTTCCCAGCAGTTTTTGTTGACGAGGCTGCTATTTCTCCATTGTATATTTTTAGCTCCTTTGTCAAAGACAAGTTGGTTACAGTTTTATGGCTTCATATCTGAGTCCTCTATTCTGTTCCACTGGTCTTCATGTCTGTTTTTGTGCCAGTACCATGCTGTTTTTTTTTTTTTTTTCTTTTATTATTCATATGTGCATACAAGGCTTGGTTCATTTCTCCCCCCTGCCCCCACCCCCTCCCTTACCACCCACTCCACCCACTCCCTCTCTCCCCCACCCCCTCAATACCCAGCAGAAACTATTTTGCCCTTATCTTTAATTTTGTTGTAGAGAGAGTATAAGCAATAATAGGAAGGAACAAGGGGTTTTGCTGGTTGAGATAAGGATAGCTATACAGGGCATTGACTCACATTGATTTCCTTGCGTGGGTGTTACCTTCTAGGTTAATTCTTTTTGATCTAACCTTTTCTCTAGTTCCTGGTCCCCTTTTCCTATTGGCCTCAGTTGCTTTAAGGTATCTGCTTTAGTTTCTCTGCATTAAGGGCAACAAATGCTAGCTAGTTTTTTAGGTGTCTTACCTATCCTCACCCCTCCCTTGTGTGCTCTCGCTTTTATCATGTGCTCATAGTCCAATTCCCTTGTTGTGTTTGCCCTTACCATGCTGTTTTTATCATTATTGCTCTGTAATATAGTTTGAAGTCAGGTATCGTGATACCTCCTTCATTGTTCTTTTGACTGAGTATTGCCTTGGCTATTCATGGCCTCTTGTGAACAACTCATTCTTGAGAGAGCTAATCTAGTCCCACAGGTCCTGACCCACTTCTGAGAGACACCATTAATCTAGTCTTGAGGGTTGAAGCTCCATGACTTAATTACCTTGCTTTATGTTCTGCTTCTTAAAGATTCTACTATCTCAACACAGCCACACTGGAGACCAAGCATCCAGCACATGCACCTTAGGCAGCACGCTCAAAACATATCCAAATCCTAGTAGATACTATCTCTCAAAATGGGAGAAAATATTTGTAAACATATTCAGGTTGATTAGCCCTTACCTGAAATGTTCAGGACCAGAGGTGAATTTTTGTTTTTCGGATTTTGGAATATTTGCATATATGTATAACAAGATATTTGGAGATGTAACCCAAGTCTAAACATGAAACCCATTTATGTTTCATATATACCTTATACACACATGACTTGAAAGTAATTTTATACACTGCTTTTGGTGTACCCATGTTTCAGCTGGTATGTCATGCCAGCTCTTAAAAAGTTTTAGATTTTGGAGATTTCAGGTTTCAGATTTGAGATTTGGGATACTCAGCCTGTATCTGATAAAGATTTGGTATCTGGAACTCTTAGAACTCAATAATAAATAGGCAAATAACCCAGTTAAAAATTGCAAAGAATTTGAGTAGACATTTCTCCAAAGAAGATGGATAAATATCCAGTAAGCATATAAAAAAACACTTAACATTGTCATCAAGGAAATGCAGATTACATCTATAATGAGATAACATTTCATACCCACTAGGATGGCTAAGATCGTTTCACACCCCTAGAATGGCTAATACCAAAAAGATAGTAACTGTTGCTGAGGATATAGAGAAACTAGATCCCTCAAATACTGCTGGTGGGAATGTACAAAGGTGCTGCAAGCACTTGGGAAGAGTAGTAGTTGCTCAAAAACTTAAACATAAAATTATCATTGGACCAAACAGTTCCATTC